CGGCGAGGCACCAGGCGGAGGCCGCCACCTCCACACCCTCATCTCGTGCCCCATCCCCAGTTGAGGTGGCCCCTGGGCACGTCTTGACGGCCCTGCCCAGGCGGTCGGCTCGGCTGGCCAGGGGTTGAGCTTATCCGGCGCTTCATTAAATGCCTCTTGCTATCTTTATGCAGATGCCCACCGTGTGTATTGCTTGGGGCATGCAGCTTATAATTTTGGGTGGGTTTTGTATTTGCTGCAATGTTGTTTACAGCTCTACCCCCCATACCTGAATCTCTTCCCTCATGTGTTTTGTGTTGGTGCATACTTTTCCAGCTGTTTGGCACCACAGCTGGGCCCGTAGCATTCATTTGCTCCTTATGGGTGTAACAGACAGACAGACACGTGTCGCTGCGTGCCCTGTCAGCTGCTTGCGTTGCATGTCGCCCCCCCGCGGTTTGGGTCCCGGCAATGCACAGGACACCGCCTAGTCGCCATCGGCAACAATATTGGGCGCGAGCGCATCCTCCGGCGGGACTTTGGTGAACTGTGGGCCGACCTACATCGTCGGATACAGCTGCCGGTGTCATTTGGTCTCCCTTGGCCATGGCAACAAACTGATGGCCAGGGCCCGCCACGCTACAATGAGCAGGCCTATAATGCTGCTGTGATACAACGTGCTGAGCGATACGAGCAGGCACGCAAAGAACTGACCGAGCAGTATCGCCGACCCCGCAAGCACGCAACTGCAGCCAGCGACACTAGTAACCTATGGCGCTGGCCCCCCGATGGACAGGCATCCACCCTGCCGCCCGTTGCGCAACTGCAACAACTGTACGGCAGCCAACAACACCGGCCACGATACGAGTGGCGGCTTGCGTTTTTCACAGACGGTAGTGTGCAAGCGACAGAAGAGGGAGCCCTCGTGGGAGCCGCTGTATGGCACTCGACCTTGGGGGCCTACAAGATCAACACTAACGGGGACGGTCCCGACAACACCATTACCAGGGCAGAGCTGGCCGCCATCTTCTGCACGGTGGCACAACGGCTACCACGTACTGACGAAGGCGTGATATTCACCGACAGCCAGGCTGCTATCCACCTTCTACATCGAGCAGTGCACAAACCCCACACATTGGAGGGCCACTTGCACAAAGAGCTACTGCTCAATATGGCACAGATACTCGTTGAGCGAGCAAATGATGGGGTGCGCACACGCATCCTGAAGGTGAAAGCCCACAGTGGAGTGACAGGCAACGAAGAGGCGGACGCTGCCGCGAAAGCTGCGGCTGGGGCCGATGAAACCCACGATTTCGTTATGCCAGCCCACAAGCCCTTTGGCGGCCAGTGGCAGCCGGCCTTCTTTGAGCCCCCGCCAGAAGGGGCAGAGGGGCCGGCCAGTCTCAGGGCAGTGTCCAATCTCACCAGTGCTCTCCGTAAGGCCGTACATGCCAGCACCAAAACCGGCACCAGCAAGGTGGGCATCTATGCGGCCGCCGCCCAACATATGTACGATGGGCAAGAAGACGATCGGGCACTAGGAAAGGAAAGCAATGCCTTCTGGCGCACTGCACGAGTGGTGGCTGGAGCCCGCCGCACACTCTTGAAGCATAGAACAGGCCAATTCTGGACGAAAAAGGAAGCCTTCCAACGGGGAGCGCCCTACCCCCCAGGCAGGCATGGGCAACCCATTGCCACGAACAGCCGGTGCCCACTGTGTGGTGAACCCGACTCTGGAGGGCATGTTCTGCTACGATGCACCCACCCTCAAATGAAGGCCATGCACATTCACCGGCACGACAGCGCAGTGCGCATGATACACACAGCCCTCCAAAGGGGCAGCTGTCACGGCAATGCCTACACTGTGTTGGATGCGTGCAAACAAGAGGAACTTGAAGGGCTGACAGCCGACGCCAAACGCCTCCCCCGGTGGCTCCTGCCAAAAAATGTTGCACACGACGACACTCTATGCAGAATGCGCCCCGACATCCTGCGCATCTTGGGGCTGCCAGGGGCGCCGACGACCGAAGAAATCCAGCATGCAGTCAGCAACAAGCACCGTCACACTATACAAGTAGTGGAAGTCGGCTACTGCTCTGACACGCAGTGGTGGGCCAAAGTGGCAGACAAACTGCAACAACATGAACAACTCATGATAGCCCTAGAGCAGGCCGGTTGGCAAGTGGACCGGACACCTCACATCATTGTCATTGGAGCACGCGGCGCCATCTATCACAGTGGCCGTGAGGCCCTGCTGAAACTGGGTCTCAGCAAAACGCAGGCTAGCAACGTATTGATTGACATCCACCTGCATACAGTGCAAGCAGTATACGACCTCTCACTGGCCAGACGGCGGCTCGAGCGGGGCCACCGTCAAGTGGGGGTAGGCTAGTGGCCAACCCCCCCACACCCACACCCAATGGTAGCCGGCAGGGTGGGCCTCCGGGCCTGCACCCAGCTGGCTTCCTCAATCCACGCCCAAGGGCGTATTTTTTCTTTCTTTCTTTCTTTCTTGTCGCCTTGCTCCACCCCTGTTTTATTGCTTTCTTTGCTTTCGCCGGGTCCCCGTCCCGTTTCGGCGGGGAGTCTATGTTGCAAGCTAGTTCTTGCTGTACCAGACTTTAAACCCACACAAGCACAAGCATGCGGGAGCCGGCTGGCGAGCCATCATTGACAGCAGAGGCCGGTGAGGCAGAGTGCGCCGAGGGGGCGGGTGACGGTAGCGGCGAGGAGGAGGAGGCTGCTGATGGAACACTCATATTTTATCAGACATTTTTGGGCATCACATAGCATGTATGCGTCTTCTGCATAATATGTATCGTGGCTGCCGGTCGGAGGCCATGTGAAGCCATGCCGCCCCCCACCCCACAGAGGCGACCCCTCACCCATAGACGTCTTGCTTGCCCCTGACTTTCAACTCCCTGAAACTCCAATATTTCATTGTCTTCCTCAAAGTCTGTGCTGCAAGCTTGTTCTTGCTGAAACCAGACTGTAAGCCCACACAAGCAAGTGCAAAGTACAACAACACCAATATACACTCAAATGAAGCATGGGGAGGCCGGCGGCTGGCCAAAGGGCAGGAATGACCCTCCCCCCACCGGGGCCGAAGACGTCTACAAGATCTGGCGTTCCCCATGTGCAGACCCGGCGCCCGTGGGCCAGCTGCGGGGCAGCGACCTATCCTGAACCCTTGGCCTGCGCTCTCCCCCATGGCCGAGTATGCAGAAATGGAGGTCGTGCGGCAGGCGGCGGCAGCAGTCAAGGGGTACGAGGCATCCGAGCGAGCTTGTGTCGATTGAGCATGAGACACAAGCGCTGGTGAAAAAAGGCTCCGGCGCACAAGCGCGGGCTGGCAGGCCTGCCTCCCCAGTCGCTTTCTTCGCAGGCAGCAGCATCGCTTCGTGCCACACAAGCACGTGCGACGCTATTGCCGGAGCACAGTTCTGTGTTACAGTCACCCCGCTATGATAGGCCGCGTGAGCAGACCTTGGGCAGGGGGCACACGTGATCAAGGGGCATCAAGAGAGGGGGTGGACCACGGAGCACCCTCTCCATGGCTCCGACCACCCTCCCCCCAGCTGAGCGTCCCAGGGTCACCCCACCCTGGCCCCGCTCCCCGTCCTGCCGGACACGCAACCCCCACAACGCGGTGGGGGGCGTGGGGATCCTTAGCAGCTTAGGCCTGCCAGGCCGACGGGTGCCGATGCTGGTGCGGGCTCCCGGCGGCAGGCAGCGCCGCCGCCGGGCACTCAAATGGCATGGGGCACACGGGCCCCCATGCCCGCACATCTCCCAGGCACATGAAAATACCAGAAGGCTGCACATGTAAGGGTGCATGCATTGCAGGCAGGAGTGCAAAGTGGCCTGCCGCGGCGGTTGGCTGTGCCATTACTCAATCAGCCGCCGCTACTGTGCCGGGCTTGGCGTTCCCATGCCAACATGCCGGCGTACCATCGCACAGTTCACGCACCACCATCGCTGTGATCAGGTGAGGGGGCTCCCGGGCTGACGCCAACGCGTGTATCGCAGCGATATGGCCACCAGGAGTGCAGCAGCGGCAGCAGCAGGCGGCGCCCTGCTGTGCCAGCTGCGAGACAGCAACTGAGTCTTACACTCTCGCTACTTCATTCTACTCACAACTGCATGATTGATTGCGCTTATCATGCCTTGATCGATCGACTAGTCACCAGCCATGCCTGGCTGGCAGCACTACAGCACTACCTTTGTGCGACTATATGACCGGAATGCGGGTCATTCCGGGGCCTTTCTCTCTTCTTTGGAACTGACTTGACTTGACTGGCCGCAGCCGGGCTCCGGCTGCTACTAGACTTCGACTAGACCCGCTGCCTGCTCTTACAAACTGGTGCCCGCAGTGGGGCTGTGCTTGCGCTTGATCAGAAACCGACCTCGACCACCTCGAGCTCGGTCAAAGGACAGTTACGACACTTGACCGGTCACTAACTGCTGTGCCTGCTCCTGCCTGCCTCATTGTTGAGTGAGCAAGCCCACACAGCGCAACACAGTCACAAGAACCCACACACCAGAGAACATGGACCCGGCGCAAGCATCTATATCCCTCCTGCCCTACAAGGAGCGCTACCTCATCGGCGTGGGGGCTGGGCCGCGTGCCGTGTGCAGCCTTGACTTCACCTGGAAAGCAGCAAAGTGAGGCTGGTGTGCTTGTCAACCCTAAACCCTAAATAGGCTGGTGTGCTTGTCAGTGTGCGCAGCTGGGCTGCACGCTGATGAAGTAGCGGCGCCTGCGGGTGGCGCCTGGCACGTGCGTTCCAGCCACCACGCGTTCAAGTAGCCACCCACAGGCGAGCAGGCAGCTGAGATTGCGGTGATAGGGCTCCCCGGCTTGGCAGCGGAGGCTGCCGCTGGATGCCTTCCCACACACGAGCATGCCTGCAGACGCCTTTGCGGCTGGCTGCACGCCTTCTACAGCATGTCAGTCAGCGGCTTGCGGGTGCAGCGGGTGTGGATCACGCGGAATGGGCGGATGGCGCTTGAGGCGTCGCTGCCCGCCGCCATGGCTGCTACTGTGCTGGCTGGCAGCAAGCGGCTCAAGGGTACTGGGATCACCCTTGGGCCCGTCCTCAGCCCCAGCGAGCTCCGCGAACGGGAGGCACGCAGGCAGCAGCAGCCACAGCCCACCCCGCTCCCGCCCCAGCCTGGCCGACAGCGCCGTGCGCGGCAGCACGGAGGCGCGGCGAGCAGCCGCCGCCGCCGCCGCTTGCCGGCGGCACGGTGCAGCAGCAGCAGCAGCAACCACCACCGCCGCCCGACGGCGGCAGGAGGGAGCAGCAGCAGCAGCAGCCACCGCCGCCGCCTGACGGCGGCGGCGAGCAGCCACCACGTGCGCACGCCACCCCTGCCGCGGCCCCCCACCCGCAGCAGCCGGCCCCCACCGTGTCACCGCCCTCACCACCGGCGTCACAGTGGCCGCCCTTGGCCAGTGCCGTGGTTCCTTTAGCGGCGGCCACGCCTGCTGCCCCGCCTAACCCCAAGTCGCCTGCGGCAGACGAGCGGCCCGAATCCTCAACTGCGCGGCGGCGACGCCAGCGGCGGGAGACGGCGGCGAGGCACCAGGCGGAGGCCGCCACCTCCACACCCTCATCTCGTGCCCCATCCCCAGTCGAGGTGGCCCCTGGGCACGTCTTGACGGCCCTGCTTAGGCGGTCGGCTCGGCTGGCCAGGGGTTGAGCTTATCCGGCGCTTCATTAAATGCCTCTTGCTATCTATATGCAGATGCCCACCGTGTGTATTGCTTGGGGCATGCAGCTTATACTTTTGGGTGGGTTTTGTATTTGCTGCAATGTTGTGTACAGCTCTACCCCCCATACCTGAATCTCTTCCCTCATGTGTTTTGTGTTGGTGCATACTTTTCCAGCTGTTTGGCACCACAGCTGGGCCCGTAGCATTCATTTGCTCCTTATGGGTGTAACAGACAGACAGACAGACAGGCTTCTTGCTACATGCATCACTGCCTGCTGTGTCTGATGCTGCCCTCCTCTACACTAAGCGTTCCCTCCACTGTTCCATGCCGCGCCATTGCAGGGGCACAATACTGCCGGGCCGGCAAGGCAAGGCATTCAAGTGCCTGTACTTTATGCGAAACGGCAGTGGCGAGCCCATGCACGGTGTGTTTGTGCAGAGCGAGTCACTGGCTGCGCTAGAGACTGAGCTGAACGTGATCAAGATGCAGATCGACATTGTTGGCGGCAAGGTGGGTGTGCCCTGCCTGCCTGGCTCACCTTGCCCGCTTGCCTGACGCTTGCCTTCTCCAGGCTGCTAGCTTGTTGTGCCTGCGATCTATGCCAGCTTGCCCACCATCTTCTCATCCCTTTGCTGCTGGGATCCCTTCAGCTTCACAGCTGCAGCCCGTGGTGTTTGACTGCCCACCATGCCCTTGCCACATCTTCTGTAGCAACCAGAGGTGATCTGGGTGGACACTGTGGAGGGCTACAGGGCCACCCTGAAAAAAGTGTGGCCAGATGCTGCCATCAAGCAAGACATCTTTCATGTGATTAACCGCTACAACGACAAGATCCCCGAGAACCACGCCATGCGCTGTGAGTGGCAGTGGAGACCAGTGGCAGGGCTGTTTTTGCATATTGGTGAAGAGAGCCTCTCCAACCTATCCTTCCAACTTTCCTGTTTTTTCGCAGCGGCATTTCTGGAGAGTATTAGCGGCTGCATACTCGTGCCGTATGAGCCTGATGAGTAGTACGCATCCATTCATTCATTCAGCACACAGACCGGCCGCCTCTTGCTCGAGGGCGGCCCACTTTGGCCTGGGCAGCCCGGGCCGCCCTCCCCCCCGGGCGCATGTTCGGTGTTGGAGGGGTGTGCCCAGCGATAGGGGGCCCCTGAAGGCATGCGCCGAGGCCGGGAAGCGTGTTCGGCGCTGCTGCACGCTGGC